AAACGGGTAACCGTCGTCACTTTTGGGCTCCTGACGCCCGGATATTTCGGAAGTGTGAGGCCCGCAAATCGCGTTACTAATCCGAGCGGGTCATCGGAACCTTGTAGCTGTCGTCATTTCTGGGCTCCTGAGGCCTGAACATTTGAGGCGGGAACCTCTTCAATGAGGGAATGAGCTGGTTGCCAGCAAATTTTGTTACTGTCGTGGGCCCGCGTGCCCGAAATAGCGTAGGACACAAGGGCGATTGATGAACGAACGATGACGACGACGACGAGGCAGCAGCCGGGCACAAGGGTAACCTCTTGTGTCCGGTTCGGGGTGGTACCCCGTCCTCGGCCGAATCGGGGACAGGGGTAATCCCTTGTCTCCGGGCCGCTGGTGGTAACACATCGGCGGCTGAATCGGGCGCAGAGGTAACCTCTTGTGTCCGGGCCAGGGGTAGTAACCGATCCTCGGCCGAATCGGGGGCAGGGGGAAATCCTTGTCTCCGAGCCGCCGGTGGTAACCCATCGGCGGCCGAATCGGGCGCAGAGGTAGCCTCTTGCGTCCGGGCTGGGGGTGGTAACCCATCCTCGACCGAACCGGGGGCAAGGGCAATCCCTTGTCTCCAGGCCGCCGGTGGTAACCCATCGGCGGCCGAATCGGGCGCAGGAGGAGACTCTTGCGTCCGGGCCCGGGGTAGTAACCCATCCCTGGATGAGATTTTTGTCCCAGGAGGTGTTCTTTGGATCCCGGGGCGTCCTCCCCCGTGGGGAAAAGGGTATCCAGGCGAGTAGAGGTGATCAGGGAAGTGTAGGAGCAAAGAGGGGGCAGCCGTTATCGTTCGAAGGATGAGGAGGAGGAGGAGGAGGAGGAAGAAAGGAGGAGGATAGATGAGAGGGCAGGAAATGAAGAGGAATATGCAGATGATGAAGATGAAGATGAAGATGAAGATGAAGATGAAGATGAAGGTGATGATGATGATGGTGATGATGATGATGATGATGATGATGATGATGCTGACGATGATGATGATGGTGATGGTGATGGTGATGGTGATGATGATGATTATGATGGTGATGATGCGGGATTTTTCAAGCGACGACGAGTGCCTCTGGCCTCGTCAGCTGCGCGAGCCGCTGGCCGCACAGGGTTGCAAGTTACGCATTAAAGCGGCGAGAGCTCTTGCCCTCGTCAACTACGCGAGCCTCTAGCCGCGTAGGAATTCCGTGTGATATACCCAGCGGCGGCGAGAGCCCCTGGCCTCGTCAGCTTTGGGAGCCTCTGGTCGCGCAGTATTTGTTTATCTTTCAATCGATGGCGAGAGCTCCTGGCCTCGCCAGCTGCGCGAGACTCTGGCCACGCAGTTTATTTTTTCCATATGTTTCTGCTCACGACGAGAGCCCCTGGCCTTGTGAAAAGACGCGGGTTGCCGTCGCTCCCCTGCCTTGCGAGCCGCTGGCCGCATGCGCGGGGGTGGGGCCCGCATCCTCGAAATCAACCGTACTTCCCCAATCAGATTTCTCCTTGGGGTTCCTTGGTCCTTTGATCTTGATTTCTCGGTTTCTTGATCTGGGTTTCCTCAGTCGTGCTCTCTTCGCACGTTCTCCTAATTTGAAGCGTGCTGGGTTCGTATAGTATCGTTCATTGTCGTTCTCTGTGCCGACAGCATCGCTCAGTTTCCTGCTTCTGGTTCATGTTCTCTGTTCTTTTTTATATGTCGTTGTTTGAGGTCGTGGGCGCTTCTGGGTGGTCCTTGGAGCTTCTTGGGGCCTTTTGGAGTCTCTTGGGGCCACCTGGGAACGTTCTGGAGCAATCTGGAGTCGTACTGGAGCCATCTTGACCGTCTTGGAGGTGTCTTGGGCTGTCATGGAGACCATGTAGGGCCGTCGGGATGGTTTGGAGGCCATCTTGTTCTTCTTGGACTCCGTACGTGGCCATCTAAGGTTAGGTCGGGCGTGTCTCCTACAGGGCGGATTTTGGACGACAAATCAAAACACCGTAAACAATTATCATAACATTTTCAAAAATGGTCAACAAATCGTCCCCCGACGACTTTTATTGACTATTTTTGAATATTCCCCTGTAGAGGGACAGGCCCGACTTAAGGCCATCCTGTTCTTCTTGGACTCCGTACTGGGCCATCTAAGGTGTGTTGGAGTCCATCTCGGAATGATGTGGGCCAGCCCTGGGGCTCTCTTGGTGGTTTCTTGCGCCGTTCGGAGGCCGTTTTGAGCCGTCTCGGAGGTCGTCCCTTGATCTCTTCGAGGCACTTTGGAAACACCTCGGGCTCTCACGGAACCATCTTGGACGATTTAGGCGTTTTGGGACAGTCTTGCAGACCGTGTGTGTTCACTCTTTTCGTCTTTGGAAATAACTTTGACGACTGTTTTTGGGCCGTCCCGTGGTCTCTTGAGGGCATTCCCGGCAATCTTGGATGCTTTCGGAACCGCCTGAGCTTGACGCCCAAAAGGCAAAACCGACGCCCAGGCGAGCTGAGACGAACAAAGAAATATAGGACTGAAGAGGGGGACAGCCGTTATCGTTCGAGGGAGGAGGGAGGATGGACGAGGAGGGAAAAGGATGAGGAATTCGCCGATGAGGAGGAGGAGCAGGAGGAGGGGGAGGTGTTGGAGGAGGATAAGGAGGAGGAGGAGGAGGAGGAGGAGGAGGATGAGCAGAAGGATTAAACGCATCATGGATGCATCTCGGCGTTGACTAGGATATGATTTCTCTTGAGCGCTTGTATGCTTCTTGGAGGTCTTGGGAACGGTGTATCGGTTTCGAGAAACTCTTGGGGCGTATTGGATACATCTTGGAAGCTGCTTGGGGCATTTTGAATATGTTTTGAGAGCCTCCGGAGGTCTCCAGAAGTCCCGGGAGGTACCTGGACGTTGGCACAGTGTGCTGTAATGTGGCACCCGACAACAGCAGACAGCAGCAGGGATCAGCAGAGAGCAGCAAAGACCTGCAGGGAGCAGCAGAGAGAGAGTAGCAGAGAGCAGACAACGGCTGATAGCACTAAAGAGCAGAATGCGCCAGCAGAGAGCAGCAGACAACGACAGCGCCAACATTGAGCAGCAGACACCAGCAGCGACCAACAGAGAGCAGCATAGCCCAGCAGACAGCATCAGAGAGCAGCAGATATCCACAGGCACCAGGGGAGACCAGCAGAGACCAGCAGAGGGCAGCGCACGCCAGCGGACAGCAGCAGAGACCAGCTGAGAGCAGCAAGCGCCAGAGGAGGCACCGTAACCACTGAGGCTCAATCCGCATCAGCTCTGCTTCCTGTTACCAGCGCTGCGTGCCTCACTCGCCGTTGCAACCGCAGATCGTGACAGGTCAGCATGCCTCTCACGAAGACCGAGATGGCTTTGCTCGCAGACGTGGCCGAGCTTCGTCGGTGGGCAGTTGCCGATCTGACGGCTCCGAGAGCATGGAGAGCGGCCCCGGCTTGAAGGCGAGGCTCCAGAAGCGAGCGGGGCCCGAGGAACAGCGGATGTACAACTGGCACGCGAAACACGTGGGCGTCGGTCGCACCTGACCATCCGAGAGCTGCCGCTGCCCTCTCAGAGCTGGACGCCCTGGTCAATGACTCCCCCCCGCCCGGCGGCGCCGGCGTGCTCCGACGACGCCCCGCCAGCAGAGCAGAGGCGCCCGACCGAGAGAAGTGGCGAGGCTGCTGCTTGCGCGGCGCCGTCGAAGGGCGACCCAGGGCCTGGCTTAGGTCGGGCCTGTCCCCCTGCAGGGGGATTTTTTGGACGAAAAATAAGAGACGCAAAAAATACTCAAAAGAATGCCCCCAAATACTCCAAAAATAGTGCCCAGATTTTTTTGATTATTTTTGAGTGTTCCCCCTGTAGAGGGACAGGCCCGACTTCAGGGTTGTCCCGGCGGCTTGCTCGACTGGACATGGCCCGGCGGCTGCGTCGGTGAAGGCGTCGCCTGCTCCGCCGCTGCCCACGGGCCGCGCAGAGGCCCCGGCGAAGAGACCCCGCCTGGCCGTCGAGGGGGTCGACGCGACGCCCGTGCGGGCACGCGGCGATCCCTCGGGGCGCAAGCGCATGGGCCTGACGCCTGCCGTTAGGTCGGGCCTGTCCCCCTGCAGAGGGATTTTGGACGAGAAGTAAGACAACCCCCAACATATTTTAAAGATGCCCAAAAAATACTCAAAAAGTAATCCCCAGACTATCTTGTAACTATTTTTGAATCTTCCCCCTGTGGAGGGACAAGCCCGACTTAAGCCTGACGCCACGGAAGCCTTGGCAAGGTCGTGCCGCAAAAGCCCGTGGGAGTCGGGTTGTTCAACTTTTGTCGGCAGAGGGCGGGGAGGCCCCGCCTCCGGGTTCGTCGAGGCGCCGGGACACTGCGCCCACGGGAAGAGCGCCTGCTGGCGGCAGCGCCGCGGAAAGCCGTGAAAGGTCTGTGCACGCCCGTGCGCGACAAGGCCTGGCGCCGAGGCAGCGGGGAGTACCTGAGTACCTCCCACAGGCGCGCGAGAACAGGTCCAAATACCGGCAATTGGGCTACGTCTGGAGTTTGCGCCAGCGCGGCCAGCTCCAGGCGGCCGAGTACGCCCTGTTGGCGCACTGGCCCCACGTCGCAGGCCCGAAGGTCTTCGGCGCGGTGGAGGAGGGGGAGCGCCACGCCGCGGCGTCTCTCTCTCGAGTAGCTGCACTTGGCGGTGGGTTCTGAAGCCAGCGGGAGTTGATGTGGAAGGACCGCAGGTGAAGTCGCGGGCCGAGGCGGCGCGAGCTCTGGCTGGGCTGCAGGCGCGACTGTACCTCGAGTGGCACCACCCAAGCACTCGCGAGCAACACCTCCGCACCGCCAACAGCAGCTGCGCGGCTTGCTCGCTCAGCCCGGCATGCAGTTCGCCAGGGCGGCCGCGCTGGGAGCAGCCGCGTCGGCGCCTCGGGAGGGCCGCGCGGGCGCCGCCGGCTTCCCCAACGTGACCAACACGTTACAATGCTGCGGTGCAGTGTTTGTGCCACACGCACCCCTTCTGGGTCGATGTCGAGGGCTTGCAGTCGGACGCCAGCAACATGGGCGACCGCTTGCGGGAATTGTTCCGAGTGCGCAGCGTTGCTGCGTCCGCGGCCGCCGACATTCGCCCGCCGCTGGTGACCCTCGTCCGCCAGGTCTTGCAGCCGCCCCGCGTCTGCGGGGACGGCGCGGCGACGAGCGTCGAGGGCATGGTGCGTGCACTGCGTCGCGGACGAGGAGGCCCAGGTCGGTCGCGACGCGCCGCCAGTGCCCATGGACGCCATCCGAGAGGCCATGCGAGAGGCTTCGGAGGCAGTGGTCATCCGCGTGGAGAGCATGCACCACCAGATGACATGTGACATGTTCGCGGTGGACGCGCGGGCGGACTGGCGGGCCACCGTCTTCCCCGTCAGCGTTATGGGCGGCGACGCCGTCCCCTACGAGGTGGCGGCGTTCGTGCAGGGCCGCGCGGCGCGGATGCGCAGCGGCCACGTTGCCTGCGTCAACAAGGCCGGGCGCTGGTTCGAGCTCGACGACGCCGTCGTGACGGAGCTGCCAGAGCCGCCCGAGGCGTACCCGTACCTGGTCTTCCTGGCCCGCGCGCGGCCCCGGCGATCGATTCCGATGGGCGGGAAGCGGCGCGGCCTCGGCGAGCCAGACGACGCTCTGGAGGCCGCTGCTGAGCTGCCGCGACTGGACCATGCGGCGTCGAGAGGCAGCGCTGCTGGCTCAGCATCTGGATCCGGCAGCGGCGGCCGCGGCTTGCCCTGCGCCGCCAGCTCGGCCGCTCGTCTTGGCCAGCGCGGCAAGGATCGGAAAGGCAGAAACCAGACTGGCAGAGATCAGAGCGGCCATGACCACGCCGGCAGGGACCAGACCGGCAGAGACCGCGCCGGCCAGCAGGCAGGCATCGCCGGAGTGCACCCAGCTGCCAGGGCCGTCTGGAACGCGTCGGCGGCCGCGGACAACAGGAACCACACCCGGGCAGACGCCGAGAACAGCGTTGACGACCCCGTTCAGCGGTGCGTGGGTACTTGGGATCTCCGACGCAGCAGCGCGGACGTGAAGCGCCGCTCCTGGTCGCCAAAGGCCAAGCCGTCGGGCCCTCAGCCGTGACGGCTTTGCCAGGGCCGAGAGTTCGCCTTCCGCGAGGATTGGAAAAAACACGTGGATGACGAGCACGGCGGCGTCCAGCGCTACCCCAATGCCCTGTTCTCGACGCTGTCGTTGAAACCCTACGTGGTCAAGGGGGAGGCGTGGCGTGAGATCGTGGCCAACTACGCGGATTTCTACGCCAGGTCCGCCACGGACTGGGAGAAGCCGACTCAGCGCATGCGCGAGCTCGCTCAGAGTCCTGAAGGGTTGCCTGCAGCTGAGCGCTGGGCGCCCCGGACCCGCTGCGCGTACGTCTTCTGTGCCAGGCTGCACTGGTCCGAGGACCTCTCCTGGGAGCTCCTGGCTGGCGAAGACTGCTTCGTGAAGAACCCCGAGGCGGTGGCCAAGCTGCTCTTTGGGGAGGTCTACCACAAGCACTGGCCCGACATCCCCGAGGCCGAGCTCCGCGCATCTGCATTGCGGTTGCGCATTGGAGACGCAGACACCTTCCAGCTCGTCCTCATGTTCCTGCATTCTCCCCCCCCCCCGGCCCGCCCAATCCCTCCCCCACCTGTCCGAGCCCGACTCCCCAATGTCCTCCTCCTGGCGCGTTTCTTGAAGAGCTCAAAAACTGCAACTACGTATCAACGCGCCGATGGGCGGCTTTGAACCCCGTCGTCGTCGTCTTCCTCCTCCTCCTCCTGCCCCCTCTCTGCCCATTTCCCCCCGTCCCCGATGGCCTCCGCCGGCCGCCGCCGACGCCTCCATAATTCGTCGCCGTCGTCGTGGCCGCCGCCGCCGACGTCGACGTCGTTGCCGTCGCGGCCGCCATCGACGTCGCCGTCGACGTCACGGCGGCCATTGGTCGCCACCGCTCGCCGCCCGCCGCCGTCGCCGACAATCGTCGTCGTCGTCGTCGTCATCGTCGTCGTCGCCGACAGTCGTCGTCGCCGTCGTTGTCGTCGTCGTCGCAGTCGCCGCTGCTCGCCGCCGCCGCCGTCTCCTTGGGGCTCGTCGGCGCGGCCGGCGACTGGGCCAGGCTCGGGCCGCTGGCGCCCGGGGAAGACTCGCAGCCCGACGAGCGCAGCGCCTGCGCGCGCGAGCGCCGTCGGTCGTTGGTCGGTCGTCGGTCGGTTGTCGTTCGGTTGTGGTTCGGTCGTTGGCGGTGCTTCCCTCCTGCCCCCCTCCTCGCACCATGCTTGCACTGCCCCGCATGGAGGCCAGTGGACCAGAGGTTCAGCGACGAATCGTTGCAGGCTCAAAGCGCCTGATGTGTCTACTGTAGGCTGGCGTTGCTCCGACAGTCGACTTGCTCTCCCTCCTCCTCCTCCTCCTCCTCCTCCTCCTCCTTCTCCTTCTCCTCCTCCTCCTCCTCCTCCTCCTCCTCCTCCTCCCCTCCCTCCCTCCCTCCCTCCCTCCCTCCCTCCCTCCCTCCCCTCCCTCCCTCCCTCCCTCCCTCCCCCCCTCCCCCCTCATCCTGCTCGATAGCCGCGCCCGCGGCAGCGCGGCGGGGTCGACAGGTCGCACCCTGCGCGCGCGCCCGGAGGAACCGGGGAAGCGGCCTCGACGGGGCACGCGGCAGGGACGGCCCTTCACCGCCCGCGGAGAGCCACGCGTGGCCTCCGGGCACCACGCGATCTCGACGCGCCGGGCCATGTGCAGCCAGCGAAGGCGGCGCATGGGCTCTCCTCCCCCTCCCTCCCTCCCTCCCTCTTCCCTCCCTCTTCCTCCCTCCCTCCCTCCTCCCTCCTTCCCTCCCTCCTCCCTCCCTCCCTCCTCCCTCCCTCCTCCCTCCCTCCCTACTCCCTCCGCTTCCTCCTCCCTCCCTCTTCGATTCGGGCGTCTCCAGGCTCACCATCAATCGAATATCGACTGCACTCCTCCTTCCTCCTCCTCCTCTTCCTCCTCCTCCTACGGTTTCTACGGTTTCCAGCAGGAGGAATGTTCGAAGCGTATCGAATACAGCTTGCAAGATGATAGTGTGCGGGCGGGCGGCGGCTCGCGCCAAGGCGCGACGCGGGGCCTCCTCACACCCGCCGCCGCCGTTTAGCGGTCGCCGTCAGATTCGCTGGAGCTGTCATCTCTGCCCCACTTTCGGGCACAGTCATGCTTGCGCTCGAACTCACAGTATGGGTCAAGGGGGATATAATACCCGAGAGCCTCTTGAGGGACCTCCCAACCCCTCCTCCTCCTCCTCCTCCTCCTCCTCCTCCTCCTCCTCCTCCTCCTCCTTCCCCTTCCCTTCTGCCCCCTTCCTCGCGCGGACCCCTCCGAGGCCTACAACAGTCTCGCGAACACCCGGAGGTGCCCGATGGTCATGTCGGAAATCGCTCCTCGAACACTGTCGGAGGCCGCTCGGAATTCGGGACGTCGCTGGGCTAAGATCCACAAGTCATCGTCGTCGGTCTCGTCGTCCGTTTCAGAATTCTTCCGAGGAGAACCCCCCGATCGCCGTCGTCGGTCGGCCGATCGTCGTCGCCGTCCTGTCAAAATCCATGCGTCATCTGCCGGTCGCTGTCGTCGTCCGACCAAGCTCCGACCCTGGACCCGTCCCGGGCCCATCCTGGCCAGCCCTTCGAACTGCACCTGGCCGTGGCGCGGCGAGAACTTCTGGACACACCCGCCAAACACCTCCGAAACGAAGCCGCCAACGCATCGACGCCATCGTCAGAGAGCCCCTCCGTGCCGCGGGGCCGGTTCTGAAGGGGCCCTGGGACACACAAATCCGCCGACCCTGTCGGCGTGTGCGAGGGGCTTGGCTGTTCGAGTCGTCGTCTCCGTCGGTCGTCGCCTCCGTCGTCCCCTTTCCCTGCAGCTTCCTTCTCAAGCTCGTGAACGAGAGAAAAATCTAGCAGTGTCGTAATCGAGTCGAAGGGAAGCCCCTTCCCTTTGATCCCTTCCCCAGGAGGGGGGGGGGTCCCCGGGGGGGTGGGGGGGCAGATTCGTTTTTCCTCGGGCGGCCTAGAAACCTCGAAAACACTCCAAATGAGGTCCGAATGATCAAGATGGCCCCCGAGACGGCCCAAGAGGGCCCCGAGTCGCGCAAAGATCGGCCGAAAACGCCCAAGATAGCCCCAAGACCGTCCCCGAAGCCTCCAAGACGTCCCAGGCCCCCTCCAAGAGACCCCCAGGAAGCCCCAAGAGGCCCCCACGAGGCTTCCGAGCGGCCCCTAAGAGCTTCCCAAGAGGCCCACAAACTACCCCCAAGAGGCCCCCAAGAGCGCTCGTCGTCGTCGACGTCGTCGTCGTCGTCGCCATTCAGGGTCGGCGGCACTGGCCGTAAGGCCTTCGCAATAAATAGACACGAATAACAGGATGCCCCATCTTTCCCTATATCTTCTGGGTTTCTGTCTTCCCCCCCACTTCCCATATTTTCCAATATTTTCTGGGGAGTCGACGATCAATTGTGTCTGTGTGATTTCTCCCTCCTGAGCTCTGTGGGGCAAGAGCGCTCCTGCCGGGGCGTCCCCCTGCACCCTTCGGGTTTTTCCTGTTGGCACTCTCGGGGACCCCCGGCTGCGGCGACAGGGCCCTGCGGAAGGCCAGAAGGAAGGAACGCCCGACGGCGCAGCGAGACCAACTGGCGCCAGGCCAGGGTGTGGGGGACTTGGGAGGATGAGGGAGGATACCAACTGTCCCTCTGGGTCACAATGCTGGATGCTGCCGGCATCTACGCCCATACGCCTCTGCGACGAGGCCCTCGCTGACGTCTTGAGCACAAGTGCGCCACTAGCGAGAAGCCATGGCCTTGACACTTACGGGCAGGACGGACTGCGGAGGGAGACGACATGACTCGATCCAAGAGGGCGATATGCAGAGACCGAGATACTGGATGGCGATCTGCAGAGGTACGAATGCAATACAGCATAAGATAAGCAAGTGGAGTTATAACACACTTTTGTGGTTCGTGTTCAAGCAGAGTATATTTTTGTGTGTGTGAATTTTCAATGGCTTCCTGGAGGCTTCTCGCTGTCGCGATCCGACTGCCCTCAGAAATTTAATCAGCGCGCGGGGGTCCACGGCCGTGCACGGCGGTGGCGCAGCCGAAAACCAACTGAACAGACAGCGAAATCGAAACCGACTGAAGCCGAATCCACCGAAAGTTACAGAGAAGGGAATACCGACACAACGACCAACCGAACCGAACCGAGCCGAACGCAACCGCCAGCGGAAACCTTTTTCCAACACACCTCCCATGGTCTGAAAAAGGCTCCGGGTACGGTCTCCTAAATGACACAAGATGGCCCCACCGGGCCCAAGACTGCCTTCACGACGGCCCGTCGGCTCAGAGATGGCTCCACGATGGCCCAGGGGCCTCCAAAAAAAACCCGATTGATCTGAATCCATTGAAGGCCCAATTTGTCTTCCGTGTTTTTGTTGTGCATTCGTCTTAGCCCTTGCTCGTCATATGGTCCGGAAAAACCGAAAGGGCCCCGAGCACGCCGAGGATCGCATCGGGGCCCAGGCCGCCACCACGAAGGCCCCAACAGACGATTCACTCTCCGACTGTCCCTTTACGACTGCGACCGCTGACGGATGGAGACATCGGACGTCGACGTATGACCGTGACGACGCACGACAACCGCGAACGCACACGCCCTGCCACCGCTGCACTGGGGACGCCCTGCATGCCTCCGGAGTGCGCCGGGCCGGGTTCTATTCGACGCGGCCCAGGCTGTCCCCAAACAAACGCCGGGCGGCCTGCAGCCGCGGCGGCGGCGTCGCCGCGTCGATGCCGGCGTCCAGCCTGGCCTGCGCCGCGAGGGCAAAGGGCGCCCCGCGGCTGCGGCTGGGGTGACCAGTGGCAACACTGAGACAGAGCGACTCCCGCGACGTCGTGGAGGATGGTGTGGCAACTCCTGGGGGGAATCTTCGCGAGGCGATCAGAACCCATTTGGCCGCATCAGGGGCTGTAAAGCTGGATCAGGCCAGACTGAGCTTCGTATGAAGCCAGATTGGGCAAATTAGTTCCATGGGGATGCCATGGCCGATGCTGAATTCCATTTCCCAGGATTTGCAACCTAGGGATGAAGATGGTCGAACATGCACGAGATGCTACATTGTCTAGTCTAATGCGACTCCACAATATGATTATCGCAAATAGAACGACGCCTAACAACGAAATGCCACAAACATTCGGAGGTCCGCGCAGTTTAGTTGGGTGCTAGGCTGCCCCACGGATACCCCTCCCCCATCGCGCGGAACGGGCTGGAGGCGGCGCTGGAGTCCAACATCGACCCAACTGCTCTGTTTCTCATAATTGCGCGCCCAATGGTGAAGTTCCGACCCATCGGGCCGCGGCAACAGCGGCTCATGCAGCGGACTCCCCGCGAGCGCCAGCCTGCTGCCTCCGACGCCCCCCGCGCCGCCGCCCCCCCGACCCTCTCGCCCCCCGGGCCCCGACCGACCAACGCCTCAACAACCGCCGACCACGACCCGCCGACGACAGCCCACGCACGATGTCCGCCTCCCGTCCGCCCTGTGATGCCCGCCTGCTCTGCGCTGCCCCTGCCGCTCCCCTCCCTCCTCCCTGTCCGCGAGGAGGAAAGTCGGGGATGGACAGACCCCCCTTCAGTAAAACGTGGTCTAGTGAAAACGACCCGAGGCCCAAACCTGGCGGGCGCAAGCCTGGAAAATAGCGGCCGCGGCGCCCTCTCGAGAACCGAAAACGGACAATTCACTTATCGACGTGTCACTGTTGGGGGTTCTGTCCACCCCCGGGAATCGGGAGCGGCGAAGAGGGGGGTGTCCAAGAGGGGGGGGTGCAAATTATGACCGGCGGCATGTGCGCGGCCCAGCGGGGGGGCCAGGGACGTAATGGAATAAGAAGAGGCGCCATGAAATCTGGGGAACTATCATGGCCCCCGCCATGATATCCACCCCCTCCTAGTCATCACCCCCCTCTTTTCCGCCCCCGAGAGAAAAGGAGGAAAGGAGGAAAGGAGGAGGAGGAGCAGGCTCCGGGCCTTCGGGGGCGAGGAGCTCCGGCGGGGCTCGGCGGCCACCACGTCGACCTGCACACTCGTCGGCGCCGGGAGCGCTACATCCCTCGCTCGTCGCCCCCGCTGCCCGCTCTGCGCTTGTTCCAACGGCCGCGAGCCAAGGGACAGCGCCCCGCTGCAGCGCGCGGCCCGCCCTTTCCGCGGCCGTGACCGTGGGCGTGGGCGTGGCCGTGGCCGTGGCCGTGGTCGTGGTCGTGGCCGTGGCCGTGGCCGTGGCGCCGTGGCCAGCCGTCCATCACGTCCTCGTGCGCGCACGAAGAAAGGGTCAGAGGAGCATGAGGAAGACGGCGCGGCAAGTCGAGGGCGGGCACCCCTTCCTGGACAGCACGGCTCGGCTCCAATGCTTGCAACGGTTTCCCTCCACCGATGGCCTCGGCCCTGGAAAGAAACATGTGCCCGTCACCCGCGGCCTCCCTTCGTCGGCGGCGAGCCCTTGGGGGGAGTGAGAAGGAGCGGGCCTTCTCAGCAGGCTCGGAAGTCCCCCGGCCATCGGAGAAGTTTTCGAGCCTCCCCCGAGGACGCGGAGAACTTCTCAGAAGGCCCGAGGGCTTCTGAGAAGTCCCGCCGCCTTCCGAGAAGTCGGGGATGGACAGACCTCCCTTTAGTAAAACGTGGTTTAGTGAAAACGACCTCGGGCCCAAACCTGGCGGGCGCAAGCCTGGAAAATAACGGCTGCGGCGCCCTCTCGAGAACCGAAAAAGGACAATTCACTAATCGACGTGTCAGGGTAGGAGGTCTGTCCACCCCCGAGAGAAGGCCTTCCCCTTCTCACTTCCCCCCCTCGCTCGCCGCCGAGGTCCTCCCCGCTCCTCGCTCTGCGCTTGTTTTGGCCTCCGGAGGTGCTCGTTCTATAGCCACGGCTGGGCGCGGTTCCCAAGGGACGGTCTGGAAGAGATCTTGGCCAGCGGCGAGCGAGGGGGGAAGTGAGGAGGAGCGGGCCTTCTCAGAAGGCTCGGAAGTCCCCCAGCCTCCGGAGAATTTTTCTGAACCTTCCCAGAATTTCAACAAAAACTCTCATAAGGCCGGAACAGTCCTGGACTCCGGAAGTGCTTGTCGTGGCCACGGCTGGGCGAGGCTTGAAACCTTGCCAAGATGGGTTCCAGGAGGGGTCCCGGGGGCCGATCTTGAACAGATTTTGGCTTGCGGGACACGGAGGCGGAGGGTGGGAAGATGGTGGACAGGATTGGAGGACGTGGAGGGAGGGAGATAGAGAAATGGGGAGGAAATGGAAACCTGGAGAAAGGACGCGCTGAGTGCGCTCGCGCAATGTCTGACATCCTAAGTTCCCACCCATCACTTTCCATTGCGCTGACTTTTTTTTCTGTCAGCCGAAAGGTGTCACATCGGACCTGGGATTCCCAAGAGGGCACCGTCGTGCGATGCGCAATCAGAAGAAAAATGGACATGTGTACAATGGAGGAGGAGGATGTGGTGGATGAGCTGGAAGCTGTGCAAGAGGAAATAGAAGAGGAAGGAGGAGGACGAGGAACACCAGCAGCAACAGGAACAGGAATGGGGGGAACGGGGGGTGCAGGAGGACCATGGGGAGGCGGAGGGGAAAAGCAAGGGAAGACGAACATGATAGCAACAAAACGAGGATGCCGAAAAACGGCCATTGCGAACGATGGGTGCCAAGCGCCGATCCTGAAATGCAGCGCGCGCTGCAATGGAAATGCAAATTGGAATGACCCACTACGCTCCGATTGAGAAGCGCCGTACACGATTGTTAGCCAGCGTGGGCCACAGATAATGTGTTTCTATCTGTGTGGAACAGTTTTTGTGGTGCACTTACTACCTGTTCGCAATGAATTGTCAACTTCAGTGCTCGCGCACATATCCCACCCGCCCACCCGCAATTTGGTTTGCAAAGCCCGTGAGGCGGCGATTGCGATGAGGGTGTTGGCTGATGCATCTCTGCGGCTGCGCTAGCCCGCGCGTGCTCGCGCGCGTAGGGGCCTACTAGTTTTGCGCGACCGACGCGGCCGCGAAGGCGCTGACCGCTGGGCACATCCCAGCGGGCACTTCACTGCGAGTCGGCGACATGGGCGTGCGCGGTATCATGGCAACGTCGACAACGGTAGACACAATGATGACAGTGTGTGGGCGGCGAGGGGCGCACTTTTCGCAGCAGACGCAGCGCGGCTTGCTCTGACGATGTAAAGGAGCTTTTAATCCCACGATTGCAGCAATCTGCGGACCACGTCCGCCTCAACACCACAGCGGGTCGAGAGGTGGGAAGGGGGGGGGGAGACGGGAGGGACCTTGAAACCAGAGCCACACTGATTACAGACCGAGAGCAATCGATGGCATAATCTTGCGCTATCAACAGCCCCCCCTGGCACTCACTATCCTGTACACAGAATCATGAGCGTGGGCGGCGGAGGCACGCTTTTTCGCAGCAGACGCAGCACGGCTTGCTCTGACGATTAAAAAAAGTTTTAAATCACACGATTGCAGCAATCAGCGGACCACGTCCGCCTCAACACCCAAGCCCATATCATGCTCTGGGCGGGGGAAGGGGGGGAGAAGCGACTCAGGAGCTCGGCCGCGTGGAGACAACCAATTGGAGGGTAGGCTGAGGCATCATGGGACCACGGCTGTCTGTTGTCCAGAGTGCGCCCAGCGAGTTCGATGTGCGGCTTGCCAGAGAACGAACAATGCCCACTCCTTCCTGCGCAACGGGCCCCTGCGAACTCTTGGAGCGGCAAATGTGAGAACAACGGGGTCGCGCGCTTGCGATAGGGCATGCCGAAAGCACGGTAGTCTACTTGCACGGACTATTTCACGAGCAACTGTTTGAATCGAGGCAAATCCCATAGCATGCTAGACGAAGGATTCTCTATCACACAGGGAACACCACGACTCGATAGAAGATCAAACAACGCGGCCGCCCATCTAGCCTGCCTGTTGCCTTCCAGGACCTTCCGACGATCTGTATCCCAAAGTCCTGGGGGGCCAAACATGCGCCCTCGATCCCGACGTGGCGCAGGCCGCCCTTGCTTCCCGGAGCGGTTGCGGCGCGCGCGGGGCCAATATGCACAGGCAAAGCCGATCCAGCACAGCGCGAGGCAATTTCGCGCAGAGCAAGCGAGCAGATGGTCCCAGACCTGTGCGTGCATGCAATCTTCGAACTTCGAGGAGCTGATCTTCAACTGCGCGTGGAAAAAACAACGCTCTTGCAAGCAGAGCTGATGCCGCGACTGCCTGCCGTTAGTTCGGCCAGAATCCGCATCGGCCAGGGGGCGCTAGGGGCGAGGATCAAGCCGCCTCGCGGCCCCCAGTCTCCCCAGGGTGAAATGGCGTGGCCGCTTCTTACCTTGGGGTCGCTCGGGCCGCCACGCTGCCTAGGAGCAGCGACCCCATCACTTCGAGCCCTCTTGAGACCTCTTGAGACAGCAGTCATGGCGTCCAAGATGTCATGGGCGGGCCCGGGCTTCCCGTGTCTGTTCAGCGACGAGCCCGTCCTCCAGTGGCACCGGGCATTTACGGTCTTGCGACCCCTCCAGCCTGACGGGATGTCGTCGGGCACCCCGCCGTGCCGCAGCTGGTAAAGGCAGGCCCGGGGGGGGCCCGCGCTGCCTCGCCGCCGCGCCGAACTGCGCCGCCACGATCGCCGCGTGCGCTGGGGAGATCAGGTCGGTCGGCGACTTGCCCTGTACATGGGCGGCCAAGCACTCGCCCAGCCAGGTCGGGTGGTCGAGGATCGCCGTCTCGTCCGAGGTCCCCGTCTTGGTGAGCTCCCCGCGCGCGCCCCGCGGGTTGCCGGGCGCCCTCGGGGCCCAGCTGGGTCGGCGCAAGGATCGCGCTCCAGAACTGCAGCTGCCCGACCTCGCGCGAGGGAGCTAGCAGCGCCTGCACCGTCAGCTTCCGTAGAGCACCAAGGCGGATGCACGCGAAGAATGTCGTCGCTACCTGCAGCGCAGCGTCGCGGTGGCCCCGCGTCAGCAACGCTGAAACGGCAGCTCCCAGGGGCTCCCCAGGCACGGGCGCGCGGGACGCTGGGTGCCGGCGTAGCCGCGCAGCCCCCAGTTGACGCGAGGCATCGACTGCGAGCCCGTGCGCCAGGGGTAGGTGTCCTTCGCCGCGGCGACCAGGATGGTCGCGTCGGCCCTCGTGCACTCTGCCTCTAGCATCAGGTCGAGGAACTGAAGCACGCGCACCTCCATGTCCTCGACAGTCGTCGGCTCCTCGCCGGCCTCCAGCAAGAACTCCTGGAACTCGTCGGAGTACTCCCTGTAGCCGACGCGCGTCCCGGCGGGCGCCGAGGCCTGCTCGCGCCTGGAGAGCACCTCGGACGAGGCGGGGCTGCTGCGGCCCGGCTCCAAGGCGCGCGCCAGCCGCGCGCGCAGCCGAGGCGGCGCCGCCGCGCTGCTCGCCGCAGGCCGCGCCCGCGCCGAAGGACGGGCGGCGCTCGCCGCAGGCCGTCTGCAGGCAGCTGGCCTCTTGGCGATCGCCCGCCTGGCGCGCAGGGGCGGCGCGCGCTCTGTGCGCTGGCGCGGGGTCTCAGCGCCCTACAGGCCCCTCGTCGCCGACGCTCTTGGCAGGCGGGCCGCCCCGCGTGGAGTGGCGGAGTCGAGCGGCCCTCGCCTCCGCGAGGTGGCGACTCCAGCCGCGCTCAGCGGGCCCAGCATGCACCCGCGAGAGGCCCTCAAACGTTCTCGAAGCCTCGTAGGCTGGCTGCCATTCCGACGGGATCCAGCGGAAGTGCGGGCCGATGTTGGTGGCCAGAGTCAGAGCCGCAAGGCGACGGTTCAACTGCAGCATGCACTGCGAGGGAGAACGACCCCTGTCAAAGCAGCAACAGACCCCGAAATTGTCGATCAGGAACAGATGGCGATGATGATGATGGCAGGGGTCCGTGGCGAGACGGCGTAGTGCCCATAGCATGGCCCTCCCCTCCTTCAGCCCGATGTGTTCGATGTGCCGATACGGCCCCTTGTAGATCACCCCATTCCGCCCCTCCTTCTGAAATGGATGGCGAGGCACCTCTGGGGGCCCTTCGACTCTGGCCC